CGACGCTGATTGGGGCTATCCCTTGATCCCCGTCCCATCCCGCCTCTACACCGCAGCCGACTCTAGGCCTCTCTCTGGGACAAGGATTGGCGTCAAGGATATTTACGACGTCAAGGGACTTAAGTCTACGCTAGGAAGCAAGGCATGGACGCAAATGACCACCAAAGCGGACGCAACCGCTCCTTCTATCCAGCGCATCATTGACCTCGGCGGAACGGTCGTGGGGAAGCAGAAAACGTCCCAATTCGCATCTGCGGCTCACGCGTGGGAGTGGACCGACGTGTACTACCCTCAGAACCCCCGCGGTGACGGATATCTCAGTTGCTCGGCGTCGTCTGCTGGTGGTGGTTGCTCCATTGCCGCCTACGACTGGCTCGACTTCGCCATCGGGTCGGACACTGGCCAGTCTATGCGCCAACCGGCGGCGTTCTCGGGTACCTTTGGAAACCGCCCATCGCAAGGTCTCATGGTTTTGGACGGAGTCATGCCTATTTCCTATGGTGCCGACACGGGCGGTGTATTTGCACGTGATCCTCAGGACTGGGTGAAGTTCGCTAAGCTCTGGTACGACCCTTCACTTCACCAAGATAGCAGCCTCAATGGGCTACCCGAGCTTGTGGTTCCGGATTCTCGTGCTTTTCCGAGGCGAATTTTGTATCCCACCGACTATCTTCCGCTGAAGAACCCCGCTGCCGAAGCCGTTCTTCAGAGCTTCCTGGCCCGGGTCAGCAAGGTCATGGACTTGATGGTGTCGAAAGTCAACATCACGGAAAGGGTCGAGACCGTGACTGGTCGGGATCTTGACGGAATTCTGGCTGACCTGGGTACAATCTGGACCTACACACAGCTCAAAGTTGTGGCAACACCTCTGATTGCACACTACAGCCCTGGTTTCCCTTCTCTTGATAGACCGTACCGAACTTCTTTCTGGAATTTCACCCTAGACGCCGAAGGTCATACCGAAGCGCTTGACCGCAGACGCCAGGACTCCGAGGCCTGGCATCGTGAGGTCTTGTTCAATACGACCGAAAGCTGCTCTGGGTCCATCATGATCTACGACATCGGCACGGGCGGGCTTCCCTCCTTCAGAGAGGCTGAGTTGAATGAGTCCCCCGGCGCTGCCTTACCTGATGGTCCTGGAACTCGAGGAGCTGCTTCTTCCCTTGCGTCCTACTTTGGAAGCGTAGACTTCACCATTCCAATTGGTCAGGTGCCTTACTACAGCAACATCACCCAGCGAGAAGAAATGATGCCTGTGACTATCAATATGGTGGCCAGGAGGGGGTGCGATTTTGTCTTGTTTAATCTTGTCGAAGAGTTGACTAAGCTGGGAGTCTTGGGGCCTGTCACTACTGGTTCGCGAACTTTTGTATGATACAATCGTTGTTTCCACTATGGAACTAATCTGAGATCCGTCCTGCCAATGCCTCATCTTCCATTTCATTCCCAAAAGACAACGCCAACGAAACACAAAGAGTCATCTCGAACCATTCATCATCTTCTGCTTCAATGGTCTCAAGGGTCCAGCCCAGTTCAATGCCAATCATAGTCATCTGGGTAAGCACCAGGCAGATTCTGGTGCGAACCCTCGGCGTAGGAATAGCCAATCATGGGTTGAAGATCAGAGCCAGGCACTTCGACAAGTCCAAGAACAATCGAGGCTTGTCTCTTCTCCCAGCACGCCACCAAAGTCTTCTTCTCCTGCGTCTTCATCCACTCACACTTTTCGCGGCCTTCTTTGAACTTTTGCTTCTCGTGGTTGAGAAGCCAGGCCTCGGCATTCTTGGTCAAGGGAGTCTTAAGCGTCTTGACGCTCACAATGTCGTAGAGTTCGCTTGTGTGATCTTGAGTTGGGGGAAGTCCAGCCTCCACGCCAGTCTCTTGCGGGAGAACTAAGCTCGGCGACGCCATTTGCTTCGACGACTGAAATCCACAGAATGCCATATCGGCTTCAATGTCGACGCCCTGTGAATGATACGTTAGCACGTGGACTTGGGCGAATTGGAGAGGGTATGGTGAGATACCTGTTCTGGTTCCTGGGCTGCTGGCCAGTCGAAGAAGGAAGAAAAAGTTGGAGACGTCAAGTCGATTGGATCATGTTGGGTTGTGATCAGTGCGTTGGGAGCGAATGTCTGGCATGATACTGTCAGCCAACCTTGGGGACAAACTTGTCAATTATGGGACTTGCCTCTCTCATAAGCTCTGTAGTAGAATTGAAGCCAAGCATTGTGTTCGCCGTGGCGACGCCATGCATAGGGCTGGATTCAGTTGCCTGCTCAAGACCAACCACTTCTGTCAATGGATGAGAAGAACGAGTCGGCTGGTGCTCGCTTAAGCCATGATAAGGACACTGCGCCATGCCACCCTGTGGAAGTTGCTGCTGCTGAAGCTGCTCTTGGTTGTCCTCAGCCTGAGTCTCAGCCTTTTCTTTGCGAAGCTTGTATCGAGCCGATGACTCCCTTCTCTTCCTGCGACACGGCTCGCATTGGCTTCGCTCCCTTATCAGACCCATATTGGTCATGGAAGAGAATTCCGATTGCGGCTTAGACTTGTGGCACTTGGTACACAACTTCTGGCTCGAAGATGCTTCACCAACACCTAAGGCCAAGGGTGCGCCATTCCCATTCAGAACGGGCGGTGAAGGTGACAGAAGGAGCGATGCCGGCAAAGGGGGCAAGGTACTGTGACCCGGTGCAATTGGCGGAGCGAACAGAGGAGTCTCTGCTGTGGGAGCTGAGGAGCCTGGCAATGTTGGAATCAGTCGAACGGGAACGCCGGGGTTAATCGCGGAGATGGGAGCTTTCTGAGATGAAGAGCTTCTTCGAGAGGAAGAGGGCTTTGAGGTTTTTCGTGAAACCCGTCTCTGTGCGGGTGTCTGTGGTCTGGAAGGAACGTCCAGGGGGTTGTTCTCGATGCCAAGTACTTGATGAGGCATGTGAGGGACTTGTAAACTCGAGGCTGCGCCCTGCGCCTGCGCAGGAGCACTGTTGGCATTCGGTAGTTGAGTTGTGCCCATTCCGGGCAAGCAGAGAGGGATCGGATCTCTGACAGCGAAGTGAGACCCCAACGTCGCTGAAGTTGGAGGAGAAGATCCGAAGAGCGACTCGTCGTTGTCGAAGTCCATGGCTTTGTGATCGGAGGAGGAAAGATTGGGGACCGAGATTCAGGGACTCACGGTCGCTTGTGTGAAGTGAAAGGATTAGTGGGAAAGGAAAGGTTGCAATATAAGGGCAGGAAGGAAGAAGAATGGGTTGAAGGAGAAGGTTGAGAATATTTCCACAAGAAGAAAGGAGCGACCGTGAACTATCTAGAAAGGAAGTGAGGCAGAAGCCCTAGACGAAGGTGAAGTGAAGAACCGCGATTTCATCTGGAGTTGCTCGCTTAATCCAAGACTTCAATCACGTTCACCTCGCTCCTTCCTCTAATTTTGAGGAATACTCGGGCGTTCCAGCCACTTAGCGAATACACGAGTATTCAGGTGCAAATCGCTTACAGAACAAAGGCCTTGGTATCAAACCCCTGCTTGATACAATTAAATCGACTTCATCAAAGACACTTGTCGATTCTCATTGGTGAATTGTGAGCTCCTTGTCTCAAGTCACAGTTGAAATGAAGCCTTTGCTTGCTTCCATTTGGCAACAACTGGAAACATTACAGCTGTAAAGTAACTGGATCTAGAAGCTATGTGAAACTATGAATTGCATGCCTCGAAGAGTCCGAGTATAGGATCGATGAAAATCGTATTCACCTTGGTCAAGTAGAGACATTCAAATTGTTTTGAGAATTCAGTTTCCAGTCCTAGCGAACAGACGAGAGCATGACTTAACCTCTTGACTCTCAGTTTAACTTGTCCTTCCCGACTTCCACATACACAAGTCCTCGTCAGGGGATGAACAAGTGTGACTCGAAGACCAGGTATCAACTGACTATACAAGGTGTTGTACCAGAGCCTTTAGTAACGGCGTCTTGTCTCCTGTCGTAGATAATCTTCTCTCAATACTAGATATCTTATTCAACACGTTCCTGATTAAGAAGTAGTGGCTTGCTGGTAGCCCGATCTCGTAATTTTCTAGGAGCAATAAGACTACCAGGCATACGGCCATAGCCATGTCAACCTTGCCGATGCGCTTATTTCTCCCAATTTGAACGGCAGACAAAACAGTAGAGCTTATGGTGAGTGGTTATTATACATACATAGGTATTTATATATATACGTCCATTTAGGAGTCTGAATTTTCAAGAACCCAAGCCCTTTCTTCAGGTGTATGTCTTCCACTTGTTTCTCGCTTTGCGACAAGATGCGTTTCCGACATGATCACGTGTTCGAGTTCAGTTTACTCAACGAGGTATCGGCTAAGGAAAGGATAGAGAATCTTTCCTGCTCTAAGAATCATTCTCAAGCATTGATTGGTGTGTATTTGGCAGGATAGGTACTTCCATCTCCATCAAACTTCACATGGCATTCAGAGTTGGCCAAATGCATAATTTCAGTACGCTGCAGCCCTCAATCACGACCAAATCCAAGTCAAGTAGAAACTCGCAGTTCCAGCATTGAGTTAGCACCTAGAAATAACCAGAATTCAAGTCAGTCCAGTAAGTTGTTTCAGTATCGTCATATTCAGGTTTCTATTGTATGTTCACATGCTGATAGGAGTTCCTCTTAATACCTCTAGGCGCAAAGGCGCATGTGGTACTGGTAGACTCTGACAGGCCAACCCGCAGGAATGCTGATGTTTGCGGAAAATCGTTGTCTTAAGCCCGCTCGATTGAACGATGATTCATGCCATTTACTATTACTCGGTCCTTTCCGTGCACTACCTATTTGAATGTTATGGTCAGCGCTTCATGATGTCACCATTCTTTCACTGGTGCAGAAACGTCATTCTGGCTAACCACATGCTGTGCGCCAAAGATGACGCGCACGACCATTCAAAGTGTATAAGATCTCACCCACCGAACCTTGGCAAGAGGAGCTATAATTCTTCATCATCTACTCCATCATGAACAGAATCGCCCTTAGACAAACCAAGCTTTTCGCTGCATCAGTACCCAGAGTTAGAGCCATGTCGTCCCAGAACCCCATCCACAACACTGCCGAGGCCGCCGGCCAAAAGAAGGACACCAGCCCCTCCAAGCCTAGCGTCATCTCCTCAGAGGGCGCCATTGGCAAGCAATTCAACCCTGATGGTAATATCGGCCAGATTGGTGAGTGTTGCAGCCTAAATCTGGCATGATCTCGGTTCTGACTTTTATCCCATAGGCGAAGCCGTTGGTGGCCCATTCTCGAAGGACGGTGTCATCGGAAGCCAGTTTGATGCGAGCAAGGGGGGCATTGCAGGGACAGTGGAAAAGGCCGTGGATGGTCCTCGGAATCCGGCGAAGAAATAGCTAAAAGACACGGTTTATTGAAAGCCTTTTTCTCGGCGTTTAGTTAGACATAATTATCTATATTGAAATTCTCCATTGGGACTTGGCCTGCTTGGTTCTTAGTTTCGTTTGCTTACATTGAAAGACATGGTACTGTCGCCAAGTACTGATGTTTAATACTTCGACATTTCACGGACACTCCGCACTTCGCGGCAAGGTTTGAGTATCGTTTTCTAGTCTTTCGGGATAGCGGTCGCCCGGTGAACGCAACTACCTGCACCTCACGCCGGGGGAGGGGAATACGGGCGCAGTTTCAAGACATGCATTACTCCACGCACGTCTCGCACACTCGTATCTCTGGTCTGTCGCAACCGAATTGATGGGATTCGACGGAAAGTCCAATACATGTCTCAAGTGACACGTCATTTCAGGCGTGAAAGCCATTTATCTGTATGGAAGGCTGGTCTCCCGGCCACCGAAGTTGAGGGGGCAATGGTCACTAGAACGTATAAGAACCTGCGATATTCCATCAAACTTACCCCTCGATTTATCACTCATTCACCTTTCCCACAACTCTTTTACCACACCCTACTCCTCATCATAGCTCGTTGACCTCTGATCACTGCCGATACCGTAGTTATTACCGTCTGCCAAAGACACGATGCAATCCCAGCAGGACAGGTACAAAGTGGACGAAGCCATGCGCCTCATTGACCATCGTTTCAACAACATCAACTGGCTCTTGGAAGCCCTTCAAGCCCCAGGCTCTGGGGTCAAAAACATTGGCGATCGTCGTGTCATCGACGGCAACAAGATTCTGGCTCCCTTAGGAGACAGCCTCATCAGGCTCTTCGCCGTGGAAGCGATGATCGATTCGAACACCGCAACAAGAAGTAAGTTCGGAGTTGATGTCAAGGCTGCATACAGTCTTGTCCCAAAGAACGTACTAATATGACAATGCTAGGCGATATCGACGCCCAATCCCAGCATGCTAGAAACAATTCGCGACTAGTTGAGATCTTCGACAGCTTCGCCTTCTCGCCGTGTATCAGTGTGAACCCATCCCAGGGCTTTGCTCTCGGTGCTCAAACGAAGATTGATACCATCAAGGCTATCATTGGAGCTGTGTACAAGGACCGCGGAGGTGGACGTGAAGGGCTCGACGCTGCCAAGCGCGTGGCAACAAAACTGAACATTCTCTAATACCGGTAATGTCAAAACCTCCTACCCCCTTGAGCTAACGATCAGTAGCCTGCCCAGACCAAGAGGAAACCTGGAAGCCCCGCATTGGGGCACCGAGGGATCCAAACGGAGATCCCCTCGGAATATGGCGCTTGGCGTCTCTTGTCTTTGCGGCAGATCCAGCGAAGAACATCGAAGCAGACTGGGGTCAGCTTGGGTGTTGCATTCTTCTCTCAAGATCTGCTGCCGAGAGAACCGACCACCGTGTTTCTAGGGGATTCCGTATGGGGCCCTTGGTGCCCCGATGCGGGTGTTCCGGGCTTCCTCTTGGCCAGGGGCCTTATTGCGGAGTGAGCGGGTACCCCAGGTCGCTCACTCGCGTAGTCTGCGGTTATGGACCGTGATGAGTTCGATCGTATGTGTAGTTGGAGGGACTCTCAGTCTAACTCACTTTTCAGTCGATTTGGTGATGGAGAAGATGGTTGTTCGACGCGGAGAGGGGTCCGCACGGAAGAAGGGACACATACATGCAGGGATTGGAAGACGGAAGAGCAATGGGTACAATGAGCTCTGGGTTGGATTACTATTTTGAAGGAGATGTGTCTGTTCGGGGCTATCGGTTCGATACACGTGGACTCCCCATCTTCTGGAATTTGCACTTTACACCATCCCCCTCCCCCTGCTCCTGAGCTTGAGGCAACACTCATTTGACGACATCACGATCTCACCAACACTCAAGCTCTCAATACACGACTTCGATTCTATCTCTCGCTGTTTCAGTTGTGAAATGTCGCCATGATGTTGCCGGTTCAACATTCAGGATGTCTTCAGATCAAATCTGCACCTGACAAGTAACCAAGGCTCGCAACCCTAGAGTGGCGATGCAGCCAAGTCAACCTACAATACTCGTATTGGTTCTGTTTTTCAAACTTGCATCTGATCCTTCAGCAAAATCTGAGTTAAGGATGCAGCCCGTCAAGGTCGCACGTTAAACTGACCTCATCGACCAAAACCTTGGGCATCAAACCTAATTCTGGGATCAGGAAGATCGCGAAACCGAGCTATGAACGATGCTCCCACTGGATTGCGAGGACAGTCTTGATAATACAGAGACAATCAGGCATTCAACGTCCGAGACGCACAGCATCTCCTAACAAGACAACACAACTTCAGTTTCGCCGCGCAGGTTTCCACCATAAAAGAAAAGCAGGATGATGTGAGACAAAAGTACATGTACATCACACTGCCCGAGGCGGAAAGGGCGCCGATCAATAATACGCCTCCCAGGCACGCCCGAGCCTCCCGTTCCCCTACCGAAACCCAGGATTTGATTGGATGCTGAGCAAGATACAGAGTAAAATAAGTTGCACAACGGCAGCTTATCGGAGAAATCAAGGTCAAATAGTGGCCAAAGGCACCTCAAATCTGCCCTCCTTCTCCGATTACAAGACATGTCGAATCGAATAGTAACAAATCTCCATCCTTACCCAGATCTCTCCACCCAGTCATCGCCGGGATGCGGGGCAAAGCGGATACAAGATGGGGCACCACACGGGACTCGGGGCCGGTAGGGCTTGCTGGTTGATGGGTTCTGCATACCCCGCTGGACGTACGTCGGCCGGATCCTTCCAGCCTGCATGCTATTGTCTTGGCCTCGCTCATTGGTGAAGTTTCTCTGTCTACAAATGCCTTGTACAGTACGAAGTAGCATTGCCATGGCCCATCTCACTCGCATGTCATTAGATGCCAATTCCCTATTTAAGACAAAGCAAGTCACTCTCTGGTTCTAAGAACCTAGAGGGCAACATGTTCCCATGAGGTAAGTTAGTAGCCAGGTAAAGTTCGATTCCATGCTGAGCCGAATAGCGGGAGCCAAGGACAGGATGCCAACCCCGCGGCATCAACGGCACATAAAGCTAGTATCCTGTACTAGTCGACTAATTGTCTTGACATACGTCGCTCTCGGATCCTGCACCATCAACTCGTGGCACCATCACACTGTGCCTAGGTATCTTGCCTGTCCTTCTTGTCTCTCAATTTCGCTTCGCTTCCAAGCTGTGCCACCTCCAATATCTGATCTGCAAGAGCAAGAAGCCTTGCTCAATTCCAAGCAATGGGCCCGTCACCTGCTCACCGTGCCCATTCACCAGCATACCCCAAAACCAAGCTTCCCCCGTCTTCCTTCCCCGCCATCTTCGCCCCAAAATTCAATGTGCCTTGCCTAGAGAAAAACCCAAAAAGAAGCCTAAAAGAACAAATACCACATCCAATCCATCCGACTCGCTTCCTCGCCAAGAGCATCCACGGCACGCCTCGCCTTCGCCCGGTCTGACACCTCGCGGTGCGATGACGCACCATGATGGCGCAAGGTAAACTTGTATGCCTGATTCAATGGGAGCCAAGATGGGCTGAGCCGGCTTAATTGTGTTCACTTGCAAGCAATTTTGATCACGAGGTGCACTTCGCTGCGCTGGGCGAGAGTATTTGAGGACGGGGGCATCTCCGATAGTTCGCCGGAGAAAGACGAGGCCCTTGCCTAGGTACCGCTTCAAAGACCTTTAATTGGATTCAATTGATAGAACTTCCCTCTTGGCAATCACTATTATTGTGAGGTACGCGGTCTCACGATGCAGCTGACCCTCCCTCTCCTGACACTCCTCACTGGAGTCTCGGCCGCACCAATTAAGGGCCTCGACCGCGCAACGATCCAAGATGAATACGACTTCATCATAGCAGGAGGTAACACACGCTCACTTTTCCCAAAGTCACAGTAATCCAGGCGGCTAACTCACTCTTCCCCTTCTCAAAGGCGGCACCGCCGGCCTCGTCCTCGCAAACCGCCTCTCCGAGTCCGGCAAACAGCGGGTCCTCGTCCTTGAAGCGGGGCCGAACCCCGAGGTTGTCTCCGCATACAAGCCGCCCGGCGGCAACCAGTTCCTCGGCGGAACCGCCATCGACTGGTCCTTCTACACCACTCCGCAGGAACACCTCGACGGCCGCATCCTCCGCTACCACCGCGGTCGGTGCCTCGGCGGCAGCAGCGTGACCAATGGCTTCTACTACGGTCGTGGCAGCTCGTCCGTCTACGATGATTGGGTCAAAGTAGGGAACCCGGGTTGGGGATGGGACGACGTGTATCCTCTGTTTGTTAAGGTAAATCACACGCTCACTTGTCCAGTCTTGGATGTCTGTCACACTTAACTGACATGATAATAGGGTACGCACTTTAACCCTCCAACGGACCACGAAGTCCGAGGCTTCGACGTCTCCTACAAAACCCACGACCCCTCCGCCTACGCCGATGGTCCTCTCCAGCTCGGCTTCCAGGGCTACGTCCCACCTTCGGGTGTAGGCTTTATCGAGGCCGCCTCTGAAGCCCTTCAGATCCCCATCGTCGAGGACCACAACACGGGCAACAGCACCGGCGTGAAGCAGGGTACAGGCCACCTCGACGCCGGGTTCATGCGCAGCTCCAGCTACGATAGTTATCTGAAGCAGGCCGAGGGCCGGAAAAACCTTGATGTTCTGCACTTTGCTCCCGTGTGGAAGATCAACTTTGACCAGGTGGAGGGGAAGAACCCGAGAGCCGTAGGTGTCGCTTTCATGGACCATCCTACGGGTATTGTACATGAGGTTAGAGCGAAGAAGGAAGTTATCGTCAGCGCGGGGGCGTTCAACTCGCCTCAACTCCTAATGGTTTCTGTAAGTTTCTCTTGAGTATCGCGGATGTGGCATGATGAACGGCAGATCATGTACTAACCTCGTCCGCTTCAGGGAGTCGGTCCATCCTCCCAGCTCAACGAATTCGGCATCGAACCCGTCCACATCAACGAGAACAT